ATTCACGTAATCTTGATAACGTGTTGGAAAAGTGATTGTTCTCCCACTACGTGTTGTTTTATATATTAAATCAACCGTCTTTCGATTTTCCTCTCCCCTTAATGGAATATATGGTTTTTCATTGCTTGTTAGGTTTGGAGAATCATCCTCACCTGAGGCTAACAAATAAGCTTGTTTTAATCGATCGACGGAAACATTGATATTTTTTTCCTTTAATTCTCACAGTATAATGTTTTCTTTTTCATTGACTTTTAATTGGTTTTAATTGTTCCATTTGTTTTTCGAGTTCGCTGGTGAAAGTATCTGGTTTTAATTTGGTTTCTGGTTCTTGAAAGAATTCTCCTGGTAGCTTCAGTGATTTACCATAGACCATTTCTGCGCAGTTGGTATTAGAGCAGTTGGTATCATCACGTAGAGATGCGCGCATAACAAGGAGTATAGCTAATTCAGAAGTCAAACAACAAAAATCAGCGTTATACCTACAAAATTTTCACAGGACTAGTTTCGATGGTTTTACCGAACCATCATCTTCAGCTGCAAAACCGCAAATGCAACCGCGCTGCAACCATTTGCGGTTTTGCAGCTGAAGATGATGGTTCGGTAAAACCATCGAAACTAGTCCTGTGAAAATTTTGTAGGTATAACGCTGATTTTGTTGTTTGACTTCTGAATTAGTATTTATTCGGCGTGTTATTGTGTCTTAAGGAGTATAGCTGGTAAAGTTTCACTCTTTGACTGAATTGTGAACTCTAATGGCTGTTCTTAATGTTCTGTATAGTCTTTCAAATTTTCTGTTGCTTTGCGGATGGTATGAAGTTGTTGTTTGCATTTTAATTCCACAGATAGCACCTAAACTTCTGAAAAGTTCTGATTTGAACTGATTCCCTCTATCTGTGATCACATTGAAAGTAACACCAAAACGACAAAATCCAATTTGCATAAAATGCTTTTGTGATTGTTTCTGCAGTAATATATTCAAATATCCCAAAAATTCTAATTTGTTCACTCCCATCACTGATTTCGATAGACTGATGCGTAGGCCATACTACTTAATTCTATTAAATATTTCCGTAAGATGTTTCTTATATTGTTCCTCAGTTTCCGACGCTATTAGAATGTCGTCTAAATACGAAAAAATAAAATCTAGTCCCATGAAAACTTCGTTAATGAATCTTTGTGGGAGGAGCATTTCTTAAGCCAAAATTCATTATATTCAATTCGAAAAGTCCAAATGGAGTTATTATAGCTGTTTTTTTGTTTATCTTGTTCTGTTGTTGGGATCTGAAGTAAATCAAGTTTAGAAAATATTGTTTTAACTTTTAAAACGTGGTGGAAGTCTTCAGTTCAGGGTAATTAGTAGCGATATGGTATTGTGACATCATTTAAGAGTCGATAATCTCCATATCGTCTCAGAGTGCCGTCTTTTTTCTGGACTAGATGAAGTGGGCTTGCCCATGGGGATTTCGATGGTCTTAATAATATTATTTTCAAGTATAAATATAATAAAGTTGAACTCTTGTTTGGCTGTTTCTAATCTTCTCTGATCTAATTGTCTTGCTTTTGAAAAAATAGGTTGCCATTAGTAGGTATGTTATGTTCAACATTATGTTTTGTTGTAGAAATTAGTAAATCGGGTTTTGTGATTTTGAAATTGTGCCAAAATATTAGAAAATTTATTATTTTTGTTTAAGGTGCTTATCTTTGATTCATCGGCTGACGATGCAATTTCACCAATAATGCTGAGTTTAGTTACACCATCAATAAACTTTTTGTTTTTAATATCAATCAATAAATTAAACCAATTAAGGAAATTTGCACCCAAATTGCCTTTACTGACTTTGATAAATCGCCATTGAAAATTACAACGAAGTCACAAATCAAGAGTTAAAATTTTGTGTCCAAAACACGGAATTTCAGTACCATTTGTAACATGAAGTTTAAACATCGCTACTTAGCAGTCGCTCCAGTCATTGCTCGTGGCTGGAATTAAGCTTATATCTGCACCACTGTCGATCAAAAATTTTATCCCAGTTTTTTTTTTTTTTTTTTGGTCAAACTGGGACAAAAAGCTGGGAACTGGTTCAATTACAAAAAGTCTATAACTGAATTCACGGCAATTCTTTAAATCTTCAGCAGCCAATAATTTTGATTCCGCTGCGCAGGCAAGTTTTCCAGGTACACAGCGGCTTACATTTTTCCTGAAAGCATCTGGATCTGCCGGATTATAACGCTTCCGACTTCTACTTCTGTCTCTAGACGATGATCTGTTTTTTTGTTTCTGTATGACGACTTCTTTCAATTCATTGGTGATGGAGATGGAGTTCTTCAAACCGCTTTTCCAATGAAGATATTATGAGTCAATTTGCGAATGCATGTCGAAAATTTTATCAGCCATAATCGCCAATTTATCAATTCTTTCTCCACTAACCACCAATATATCTTTGATATGGTGTGGCAATTTGTCCATCCATGATGTTTTTAATACCATGTCAGAAATATCACTAGTTGCCAAAGATTTCAATTTTTGCAATAGATGGATGGGTATCATGTCGCCATTTTCAATGTAAGTGAAAAGGCATTTGATTTGTTTATTTTCACTTTCTATAAATATATTTAATACGCGCTCTTTTGCCAATGAATATTTGTTTTCAGACTTATCAGTTATTATATCCCAAATAGTATATATATATTTAGGTTCCATTTGTGAGACAATGTAATTAAACTTGGTATCTTCATTACTAATACCATTAATTTTAAACAGTGCCTCTTTCTGATAAAACCAAATTTCTGGATCATCTACCCAAAAAGGTGGAATTTTTATACTGACCTTCATAGTTTCAAAAAAAAAATCGCTCCATTTGACTGGTTTTCTGTCTTCTCTGTATTTGCTGTAATATTTACCATTGTTAAGTTCAGCTCACCAAATAATGTAGCGGTTGCTACATCATAAACGTTATTTTTTTTAAGAATAACTTTACACAATTATATTTAAGAGAAAAAACAATTTATTATTCACTTTTTAAACACGCTCTTTTTAAACAACATCATCCTGGGACTATTTTCGTTTCTGCTGTTGCCACTAACAGTCTACATAAAATTGTGCAAAAGAAAAGATTACTTATGATTTTTAGAGATTACACGTCCACATAATCTGGCGGATGATTTTTTGGAATGGAAATATATTAACCGGGCGGACTAGTCAGTCAGATCTCTGGACCTAAGTTCTGTAGAATGTATTAGAGAAGTCCTTGGGAGGGCACTTATAACTCCTTTCAAACTTCCAGAACCCTCCAGGAGATGAAACCAGAGTTGCAACAGGAGACAGACCAACTACCACACAGACTAAAAAAAAATTCCGGAACGTCCTAATGTTATAAACTTTGTTTTCTCACTATGTAGGCTTGAGATAAAACTGTTAGTGTTTAATGGCTGATTTACTAAGCCACCGACGATCTTTCAAAATTTAGTAACAAAAGTACTATAACATATGTACTAAAACTAATGCGAAATTAATTCCTTAAAAATGCTAACATTAGCCATGAATTTATTCAGTGCCGTTCAGTGTTCATTTACACCCGTATTCACCAACTCTTTAATTCATGAATTTTCGTCTTAACCAGTGCGTCAAAGCGAAATCGGTATTCTCTAACCACAAAACCGTGCGTTATACCTGCATCTGAGCGTCGAATCCTGATTCACCGATGGCGGTGGATTATTACACTGGTTAATGTTAAGCATGCGCAGAACGATGCTAAGATGAAAACTTTGTAAAGATGGATGCCGTGGGAGATTTGTTGATGTTAGAAGAGCTGCAGTCATTTGAAAGGAGATCACGACTGGTAGTAACAAACAGAGATTGTGATCTCGATGTTTTAGATGATATAGATTTTCGTCGGCGGTACCGTTTGAATAAAACAACGGTATCGCATATAATTGATATTCTAAGTGAAGATTTGACCTGCAGTGCTAAGAACAACTATTTAACTCCTGCCGAAAAAGTGTGTATTGCCCTAAGGTTTTATGCTTGTGGAACCTTTCAATTAGTAATTCAGTACCTAGAATGCTGCGAATCCCGTTATTTCACATGCATAATGAATTAAACCATTTTAGTGCTCTGTTTATATTTCTGTTATGAGTGGATTTGAGGAGAGAAAAGGGTTCTAATAATAAAGTGATTTATTGTACCGCTGAATTTTAAAAAAGTTTTGAGCGTTCAATAAAATGGGCTTTTCTTTCTTGCTAAAAAATTTAAAGTATCTAACTCTTCAAATAAAGGCATATGAAATTATTCCCTACATTATTGAAGATGTTAAGTAAATAGTGTTTTACACTTTGGCAGCTGGAGATGTTTCTGCAGATGGTCCATCGAACTAGTCCCGCAAAATTTACAAATATAACGCTGATTCTTGTTGTTTGACTTCTCCAGTAATCATTATTCCGCTTGTTATTTAAATCTAAATTATTACCTACATGTTCTGCATTTGCCATACCATTCAGAATAGCAGAATGCCTCTCACCTATACCATTCTAATTAAAATGAATCGAAATCATGATATATTTATCTATGAAACCAGCTTTTTTTTATATACCCGTCTTGTCTTTATTATGACAGAATTTAAAGTATATAGCAGGAATTTCACAATCAGAAGCTAAGTTGCATCTTCAGATAATTGTTATTCACTAAATAAAATCATTTGTATCTGCAGATTTATTACTATCTTTTGTTATGTATTTTGTGGGAAAATGTCATTCGGTTACCACAAATTTGACTGATTAGCTTACAAATTTAAGAGGGGTAAAGTATATTATCAAAAGTATCATAAATATTTAAGTTACAAACTTTTTAGATCTAATGTTAAAAATATTTTGCTACGTCAATGGAAAATCGTTTCTGTGCAAGTGATTTTCATTTTTTTATTTTATTCCGCTGGCTAATCATAAATACATCTAAACCCGAATTTGGCGTTCGATCGCAAATTGTGATAGTTTAGGATTGGTTAGTTCAGCTAGCGATTTGAAATCCCTGTACGGATTCATCCAATGGCAATGGTGCAATCATATTAGTTCATGGCTTAGCTGCATGTGTTTAGGTCTCCCGAAGTTTAGTAAATTAGATAGGATACATTTAGTCATTTTTACCATTTTATTCTAGTCTTCAGTCTTATAACATCAAAGGCATTAAATAATAATGGCTTCTCAGAATATTAACCCTCTCGTACCAACTACATCCGTTGAAGCATCTAAGAAGTCATCAGAGAAAGCCAAGTTGGAAGCTGGTTGTCATTCTGTAAAGAAGAGGTAAGTTTAACAATTCTAATTTTTATACCAAAAAATGAAAATATATAATATATATATCCATTATTTATAGGTAATCTAATTAATTATTCACGAGTAAATGCAAGGAGGAGGAAACTGGCACCTGTTCATATGGCTCAGTATGTTATATTTCTCACGTGTATATTTTCACTAGAAACAACGTTCTTGTTGAATTAAAAAGAAAATTTTAGGCATTGCACCGATTACGATTTTTTTTCCTTTAATGAAACTCATTTAAATCGGTTAATTTCAGCGGTTAGATGCTTACCAAGTAACTTCCATAGTCTTAAGTAAGATGCTGTACATGTTCCAGTGAAAATATTTTCCACTAGTTCTGTTCATTTTTTGTATTTAATGAAAAGCTTCTTTTAACGTAACGAATTTTAATCATTATTACCTAGTGAGAGCTATCGAACTCTAAAGTACGTGTATGCTATTCATTATTTATAATGTATTAAGCAATGCATGGATAACTAAATGTGTGAATCTTTTATGATATCTGTTGTAAATATCTTTCTTTCCCGAGATTCCGGTTTCATTAGTTTTGAATTCACAAGTAAAATAAATTACTAAATAGGTATCAGGAATAAACCTAAAAAAGAAAAATGGGTACAAAATGGTCTAAAGTGCAGAGTCGCCCACTTATTTGTTTGGCGCTTTTTACAAGAGTAAGAAGAATTGGATTTTTCTCAATTTTCATTGACTTTTTAAGTGAAAATAGGTCGATGTGTACATGGATAAAGTCAAGAATGTGCACAATGCCATTTTTGTGCAATTCTGAGATTTTTTTTTTAAGTGAAAATAGGTCGACGTGTACATGGATATAGAGTATGTGCAATTCTTAAAAACACTCCAAGCAGTGGGCGATTCTGCACTTCCCCCACATTAAGGCATAAAAGTAAACCGCCTATATCAGATGAAAGAATTTCATGTTCTGCAAGTTGGAAGTCAATAAAAGTGAGTTTCTTGATGTGATTCACATTTATTGTTTGAGGGCATTCCAATTTAATAAACTTGGCATTAGGAATTAAGAGTTATCAAAGGAAATGTAAATGGGTTAGAGGCAACTTTTGTCAACTTTTTTTGGCAAATCAAAAATTCTGAAGTTTATAATGAAACTGGAGTTTTATAATTATCAGACAAAAAATCTTTATTTCTTAATTATATTATTAACTAGGACTTTAGCAGTGTACATGGATAAAGTCAAGAGTGTGCACAATGTCATAAAACTCGGCAAACAGTGGGCGATTCTGCACTTTCTCCCAATTTCGCACCTAATCTTCGTCATGATTAAGCACTTTTGTTCCATAAAAGTTCTAGCATAAGCGTAATTCGGCTAGCAGATTGTTGGGAAAAAATGTTGAGTAAAAAAAAAAAAAACCTGCCTTTACTTTGTGAAAACAAAATGGCATCCAAACAAAAACCAGCAGGTTGCTGTAGCAAGGTTTTTTGGTAACCTATTGATAGGATTGATTGGACCTATTGAATAAACCTATTGATAGGGAAATATTTGTAAGTGCTTATTTATATGTTTGATATTGGTTAGGAAGTACATTGCTTATTTTGTTCTTTACACTGTAAAATGCCTGCTGGTGGTACGATTAGCCTTAAGTTTCTGTACACTTTAGAACGACTGTGAAAGGAAACATTGATTGAAGATTTAAATGGCCTCATTCACCTCTTGATAAATTATGCAATGAGATTTAAGAATTTGGAAACCGGAGCTCGTATCCATACTATGGAAGGTAAGTGGTGTGTAATAAAAAGGGATTTTCGAAAGAAATGCTGTCGGCATTTCATCTGTACGAAGAATATTTTTCATTTTTACTTTATACAGAATCTAGTGTGGATAATTTTATAGTTTTGGATGCTGTTAAGGAATTCTGTTCATCTTGCACACCGAAGAAACTAATTTCTAAGATTAGAAGTGTTGGAGTTCGTGGAAGACCATCAGCAAACAGAAACAAGAGTAAATAGATAAATAAAATGACTATTAAACTCATTAATAATTTTCAAATTAAATAGTTAATTATTATCAAATTATTGTTTATAAATTGTTATTTAATCAATAATTATTATATAATTAATTATAATTTAATTGATAATTAAGGTAAAGGTATAGTTAAGGGTACCCCTTGGCAATTTTTGGCGGTACATGGATACTGAGTTTGTGCAATTCTTTGACTTATTATTTTGGCTTGCATAACGGTGATTTTTGCGCCAAACATTGCCGCTACACAAAGCCAAAATAAGACAAAGAATTGGTAAACTCAGTATCCATGTACACATCAACCTATTTTCACTTTAAAAAAAATCCCCTTATTGCACAAAAATGGCATTGCGCACTCTCTTGACTTATGTACACATCGACCTATTTTCACTTAAAAAAAATCCAAAAATTGCACAAACTTGCATTGCGCATTTGCAGGCATAGATACATTTTCACTTAAAATGTCAAAGGAGCACCGAATTCTACAATACAGGCAAACAAAAAGTTTAACTCTGTTCTGAGCCCAGTTGAGTGATCAGACCACATGTGTGTGTTTTGTGGGTTTTCCTTCTTCCCTGGATTCCAGTTTTAGTCGTAAGACTCTTCCCCCCCCCCCCCCTCATCCCCAAGGCATTAGCTATCACTGCGGCTGTCCGTACTAACCTAATATTACCTTTCCCAAGCCTGGAAAATTATGTTTCCCGGCTGTGTCTCCAACCTTCTGATTCTATTAACGCAATGCGTTCCGGAATTCGCCTCAATCAACACCTTTCTCTCTTTTAATCTTGAATTACAAGTTGAAAGCAGAGAGAATGCTCGTCCCATATGTGGACTCCTTATTCATTTCTTTCAGTGTAAACCCTTAATGGTTTGTTCATCTCTCCTTTAGCCATTGCTTTTTCTTATCCAACTCAGTTTCCTTATCGAAGTTGTGGAGGTAATTGCATTAAGTTGCAAAGGTACTCCGGAAGTCAAACGCCTTGGGCAAATAAAAAAAACAAAAAAAAAAATTGCATAATCTCAGTAAACTATATTTTAAACCAAACAATAAAATAACATAAAAAAGGAAAACATGTTATACATTTAAGTACTACAAAAAGCAAATATCCACTTATCCTATTTAGAAGTTCCTTCATCTTTAGTCTGTGGCACACAAAATTCCTTAACAGCATCCAAAAATTTCCTAAAATTATCTGAACTCTAATTCGTATATCGGTATCGCCACATCTGAACCTTTCTTTCTACAAACCCGTTCAAGTCGATCTAAACAGTTTTTACGTTGGACTAGACGCATGTCCTCCCTACATACAGGACACTTATAATGGCTACTAAGTAAACCTTCATTTACACACCAGTCAATTAAATGTTCATTTCCCTTCTCGTTCCAAATCGTACAGAAACTTCAAATTAATCTTACTACATTCAGTCATTCTACCGTTTAAAAAATGAAACCAACACACACCACAAAAGTGCCTACAAAACATCCCATGATTCAAAATTTCCCAGATAATGCACCGATTACGTCACAATAGGGATTCCATAATATTCAACTACTCAAGCTACCATAAATGAAACGACAACTTAGCGATAAATGAAACAACTTTGTAATAATACAAAGGGTATCTTAAAGTCCACTCTAACCGATAATTAATTATTTATTGAAATAATTAAAGATTGAAGTAATTAAATAAAATGTAAAGAGATAAATTGAAATTTAACGCGGTTTTTAATATAATTTTTTTGTTAAAATTTTCGAGATAAAATTTCTACTGAAATTATTATTCATATACATAAAAAAAGTGCCACAGCCTTCTTATTCATGGCTCCGGTGCATTCCAGCTAGAGTTATGATTTATTACAAAAGCTAAGAAGCACTGAAGCCGAAATCAGGTGGGCTCCGGCCCAATTTAAGCTCTGATCGTAAGGGGGACTTCTTTTATCATCACAAAAATTAAATATACTTAGTATAGCTGATGAAAATTCCAGGGTGAAACAGAATGAGGGTATGAGTGGGTGGAAATAAAAAGTGAGGGGAATCTTGGTGAGAGAGAACGACTCTCTGCTGATAACCATCAAGCAGATGTGTGTAAGGGTTAAAATGAGTCCTGAATCTGACTCTTAAGGATGGATGTAGAGTTGCTGGTTACATTTCTCCTCCCCCCCCCATTAGTGGATACTGGGTAAGACGATGTATAGGATATGTTTGAGCAGTTTAATCTCAGTATTTTATTCTTATTGTACTCGCTGTGACTTAACGCACATTTAAGAACACAAATTTTCCTTCCTGCGAGGATAATTAACTGTGAGCATCGATAACAATACACTAGATACAATGGCATGGCGAGAAATTTACGCATTCCTAAACGAACTCCCCCAAATTTATTGTCCTTAAAGGGAAAGGTTTCCGCATACGAGTGTTGGACTTTACTTGAACGTCTCATGTTCTCATGAGTTCGTATTTCTAGGGAAATAGAGTATTGCAAGGTCTGCGTATTGTTAAACTAAAACATTAGAAGTTCTAAATTTTCCCCCCTGTAAATTGTGGTTCAGTTTTATAAAAAGAAGTACTGGAACTCATCTTATTTAGGGCTCTGGTGCTCTCCGGCTAAAATTGTAATTTATCTTAAAAATTGAGAAGCACCGGAGCTGGGCTCAGGTGTACTCTGGTGCTATTTAAGCACTGGAAGAAACAGAAAATTTTAAATAAGGTACTTTGATATTTCCTTTTTGTATTGCGTGATTGGAACTACTCTGATATGCGCCCTCAAGTCGCTAAATATTTTGGCGAGAAACTTCACGCTGCCATATTACTATCTAAATTTTTTGTCTACATTTTGAACTTTTAGCCTAAAATGTCTCCAAAAAACGCGGTTTTCGCACATGCAAAAACTAAGTTTTGAAACACCAATTTAGCTAAAATCCGAAACAAAACAAAAATTTAGATAGCAAAAACGTAATTTCTAGCCAAAAATATTTGACAAGAATCCATGTA